AGGCTGAGGGAACTGGGTTGGTTTAGTCTGCAGACGGGAAGACCGAGGGGGATTGAATAGCAGCCTTCACCTCCCTGCAGGAGGGTCGCAAAGAGGATGGAGCTGGGCTGGTCTCAGTGGGGGCAGATGGCAGGACAAGGAGCAATGGGCTCAAGCTTCAGCAAGGGAAGTTAAGGTTAGATAGTAGGAAAAACTCTCACTAGGAGGGTGGTGAAGCACTGGAACAGGTTACCTAGAAAGGTGGTGGAGTCTCCATCCTTGGAAGTGTTTAAGCCCCAGGTAGACAAAGCCCTGGCTGGGATGATGTAGCTGGGGCTGGTCCTGCTTTGAGCAGGGGGTTGGACTCGATGTGACCCCCTGATGTCCCTGCCAACCTGAATTCTCTTTGATTCCATGAAAAATTACTATAAACACAATCCTCTCTGCTATGCATTTCTGCAAGCTTGCAAGGGGACTTAGGGTGGATTATGACAACAAGTTCATTGAAGAGACACAGTTAATTCAGAAACATGTACACATAGCTACAGGATTCCAATAGCCCCAAGAGAGTCATCCAATACGTAAAGCATCCCAGCACACTCCGTTACCTATTTAAGGTTCATTGCATTAACTTTTTTACTTGCAGTTATCTTCCTTCACTGTCCTACTTTTCCCCCTAGAAGAGAAGGCTGGTCAGAGCATTTATTTCATTTTTGTATTTAAATTTTCTGAATTCACATGAACTTCTTAACTCTTCACATACTGCTACATTCTCTACAAAATGAAAACTGCAAACACTTAACGTGCAGTGAAGACCATTTGGGTTCACTGTAAATATTTTCCATTCATCTCCTGACCAACTCAGTGATTATCTCCACATCTCCTGTGCGGTAGAGAGGAGGTGCAGCATTATGGCAATTCTTCCAGAGGCAGCAAAAAAACCCCATCTACCATAACAGCACACATTGCTTCCTGCGCTTACACGTGTATCTCTTGGCCAAGAGGTTCAAGAATGAAGCATCTCAAATGGAACTTCAACATCTGTTTCTGGCACCTAAAAACAGCCCCGTTTTCAAAAGCTGATTAGCTGCTGTTTGCTCAGGAGTTGAATAGGACTTTCCCTGCAATGGCAGTTCTGGGCTGGGCACCAAAACGTGTCTCTTTTGTGTTCCCACCGAATGTTCACCACTCCCAGGCCAGCTGGTGCCCAAGCAGCAGGGACAAGTGAGCTCCCGATCTGACTGCAGACAAGACGGGTGGGTACGAGGAGGAGGCTGGGACAAGGAATATGGGAGAGGGAGCCTAGAACTGAAGGTTATTGCAGGATGAGCTATACAAGGGAACAAAAGGGGAGGGAGAAGAAAGGGAGGGTGGGTGGAAGAAGGGGCAGAACTGGGGATGGCTGCAGACAATGTGTCACCGTGTAAGTAAAAGGCTGTATAACAAGACACGTGCAGAAGAACACTACGTCAAGGTTACATAGACAACCGTAACTCTGGCGTTTCTTGATTTTGAACGCTCGACTGCAACTCTAATCATGTTCTTTTCATGTGTTTTCTGCATGTAATATGTATATCTCCGTTCTGCCCAGAGACCCCACTCAGGATCAGGGCCACAAAAGCCTGGGCTCTGTACAAAAGCACCAAGTGACACAGCCTGTTCTGAGAATCCCACAGGCCAAGGCTGATGAATAGATCTCACGGACTGCAAGGGGACTCTGCATGAGGCTTCCCTTCCCAAACTGAATTTAACTTAGGATGTGATCCAATAAGTGGGGCTGGAAAACAAGAAAATTGAAGAGAGGCGTGGGGAGAAAAAGGTAACAATAATGAGCACACGGAAGCCAGGACAAGCACAATGGAAATATCTAAGTAGCTCTGGGTTACTTAAACATTTTTGCATATAAATGCACATAAACAATTGGATCTCTCTGAAATCCTTGGACAATCTCGGTGAAGGTCAGCGAAAAGCATCTGCACCAAGGAACATAAAAATAACTACCATCCCCTAATCCCTTACTATTGCAAATCAGAATATTTCAGGAGTTGATGATATAGCAGGTCAGGTTTTTTCAGGCACATGCATACATAAGTTTTCATAGGCAACAAATGCAAGCGGTTCACTTTTTCAGTCCTCAATTTATTGGCCCCGTCGCTGCTCCAAAGAGGAAACAACATTTTCTGAAATAAACAACTGTTCTGAGATATTAACTGCAACCAGATTTTGTGCCTTTAATATCCGCTATTTATGCAACCGACCATCTGAACAATAGCCAAAAACACTGAACTTAATGGAATAACACAGGCTCTTAATTAAAAAGAAAAGCATCAAGATAAAAATCCAAGCTAATTATAAAACATACGGCGTAATTTTACATTGTTGCTGATTTGTCACCTGAAATAGCCTAAAGTTTAATTTTTACTTTATCTTCTGCATTGAGAATTAAAATTTAATACATAAGAAACTGTAGGCATTGTAGTTTGCTAAACAGAATGTATGAAAGTCTTCTGGGCTGAGTACTTTGAATAAAATTTAACAGTTCCCTCAGCGAACTAGTCCTCAGCAATATACAGCATCTACTCAAATCTAAGATAGCAAGGGAGGAACACTGGACTTGTAACCTGGAAAACTAAGTGTTTTCATAAGCGACAACTTCCACCCTGCACTATAAAAAGTAGAATAACACCAACAATGCTTGTGCTACTTGTGATGAGTACCCCTGAACTTTCATATTTTTTTTATACTTTGGGAACAGCTTTGTATGTTTTGAAAAAGTATTTTATCTAACCAAGGGCATAGAGTAAGTTGTTTAGGCTGGGGGGGGGGAGATCGCTTGTTGCCTAGTTCCTTAATTGCTGGCCTTGCTAGAATCAGCAAGGTCCTGGGTGGAGTTGGAAAGTGGGGGTTACTTGGTGGTGTTGGAAGGGGGGTTACTTGCTGGGCTTGCTGCACAATTTATCACATCAGCAAGTTTAACCTGTCATGTAGCTATATAAGCCTGATGCCCACTTGGGTGGGTGTGCTTGCTTTGCGAACGATTGCCAAGCACCACTTTCTGCGCAGAAATAAAGATTAAGTTGGATCCTTCACCCCTGTGTGTTTATTGGCACAAGCACACTGGGCACGAACTCACTGTCCTTTGGGGACAACACTTGGACTTACAAGTTTTTGGCAATGAAAATACCAGAAAAATCAGAAGGACTGTCCTTTTTTGGGAGATAGCAAAGACTAATTTTTTCCCCAAGTGCCTACCTTGTTAACTTGTGTGTGATGAGCAGATACTCAGGATGAGCCAGTGTGCCCGGGCCCTTGCTACTTGCCCCAGACTTTTGTTCCAGTTTCACTAGAGACCCGAGGGACCTGGTCCTTGGCCCACCTACCCGTCTGTGCTGCAATGGTGCTGTTGTATGGCATGTTCCTGCACAGCAGCAATTCCTCTGACTCCCAAATCCCACCGTTGCACTGCCTTTCCCTGCTGTGCACACTGACCACCTTATCTCTGTTAAATAGCAGAGGGCAGCCAAGTGCTAGAGCAAGCAGTAGCTTATTCTTGGAATATCCTCAAGTCACTTGAGGGCCCAGTGGGCACACAAGAAAAGAGAACTGCGGGGGGAGAAATGCAAGGGAAAAGGGGGCTACACCAACAAAGAGGGAAAGCAGGAAAAAGGAAGGCAGCAAGGCACCTTCCTAAATCTGCTCAGGGCCAGACTCTAGGGAGAGAAGGGAATGAGAAAAAAGAAAAGAAAACCCAACAGGATCAAATCTCCAGACAGAAGAAGAAAACGAGGAACATGACAGACTGAGTGATGCACAGGGAGGGAAGGGAGGTCTAGGGAGCACAGGAAACAAATTACAAGTTAGGGGTAAGCACCATAAAAAACAGCCATTTGTCCCACCACCACACATCTCTGCGGGTTCCAGCGTCATGCTCTTCTTTGGCTAAGAACTTACAAACTCTGGTGCCATGACCAGAGTTGCTACTGCTTGTAAAGAGATGGGATGATGAAAGAACCCGAAATGCCTCTCTCAGATGTCAAGCTGTTGTATCAGACTGGGCTTTGCACAGAGAATTTGGGGGGAAGGGTGGGGACATGACTTCGCCACCTGCGAGAAAGTCCCCACAAAGTTCAGCACATGGTTTCAATGAAAAAAAATTGAAGTTAGCCATATATTGCAATAAAAGCCAGAGTATTGTGCCCGAGTCATTCTACACTTGCTGGAAGTTAAAAAATGATTAAAATGACTTTGTGCTATGAAAATGAAAGAAACTAATCTGTTAAACCTGTGCTTTCTGGATGAGCTAATGCCTAAAGGAATGATCCAGTCAGATTCCTTCCTTCAAATATAATCCAGTTCCTCACAGGTGCTGTACCATGGCACGAAATGAAAGCATCCTCTTTACAGCATCATATTTACTACTCCAGTAAATGCAATGCTAATACAACTGGCAGTGAAAGGTGGCTTTTCATTAGAAACACACTCCTGCATGTTTGTATGCAGTGAAATGGAAGCCACCAACCACAATTCCTTGGTGTACCAGTTTTAAATCATTTAGTTTAGCATTTGTATGTTTAATACAACAGCCAGAAACACTGACAGCATCTAAATTTGTACCCAGATACCAGTCTACTGCATCTAAAATAAATGGGTCTGCTTCACCTTAGCATTTATCTCAGCAGTAAAGACTATTAGGGTACAAACTGATTCTATTAACGTTATCACTTAATTAGTACTTGCATTAAAAATGATTCTGACTATAATAGGAATGGCATACTGCGCCAGGAAGATTGGATGGGGGTGGCAAGACTATTTCCAAATCAATTTGCTTTTTCACTCAGTTTTCTAAACATTTATTTTCTCAGCCAGGAGTCTTGTAGAGGGCTCAAACCTGCTTCCCCGTAAGTCGATAGGAAGCAGGATCCGAAAGCATAGCAGGGATTTCAGAAAATCCAGGATCCTGGAAACCCAGCAGAGGCAGAAGTGAGCCCAAAGAAAATCTCTGCAATTCATGAAGGTCTCACCTCCAACTCTTGCTCCCTCTGTAGTGCAAATTGCTTGAATGACTTGACAATAAGGCCAGCATTGGAGCAGTCATAGACGAAAATAGAAGGACTGCCCATCCAAGTCTGCAGGTCATATATGGATAGTGGAATATACTGAGTATAGTTCTGTAAGAGGAAACAAAAAACATAGATCAGACACATGCAGAGGAGAACTGACAGTAGAAGCTGTGCTTTTGATGCACTGAAATACATGACAGGCATTTGGGAACTGCACAAGGAAAGCTGGCCTGTATTTCTACTCATCATTATACAGAGCGACCACATATTCCACACAAAAGCATAAATGCACAAAGAGATTTTATCACAGCTCCATCTGCCTTACTAAAAGTGCGAGTACTTAACCATTCTAAAGCCTGCTAAAAGCTGCTCTGAACTGTGCTACGGGTCTTAAATATGGACTATTAAATGCCAGGTCATCTTCGGCATTTGCCATATTGATACCAGACACAGGCAACAACTTATAAAAGCTTCACCTTTGGAAACAGGTTGGTCTTAAATTTAATTTAAGGTCAAATAACTTTTACCAGAAATGGTCTATATAACAATAGCTATTAAAGGCTATTAAAGGCCTATTATAGCTATTAAAGGCTAGATTGTCCATCAGCAGTCACTCCTTATGTTAGCTTATAGTGACCTTACATGGGCTAACTGCAACCTTTAAAACAGCTTTTGATCAACTTTTACAATAATTAAAGCTAAACACCACAAAACTTGGCTCGAACTAAACACCGCTGCCACAAATTCACTTTCTGCAAGTGTCAAGTGTTTGCTCTTTTTCATTAAAAATTGAAAGCATTTGAGTGACAAGAAGGATCAAAACTCAACCTTCTAACAGCACAGCCATTGCAACCTGAACCAAAGAGGCTGCGCCCTCTCCATATAAAAGAGAGTTGGAAGAACTGAGAATGAAGCTTGATCCTTCACTTCTAAAAAAAATCCCACCGGTCTCTACCACTTCAGCCTAGGACAGATATTAACTACTGCCTATAGGAAAACTTACACGTTCTTACCAAGCTGCAGCCAGAGGGCAACATGCTCTTACACACATATAATGTACAATGCTGCTGCCCTGAAATCCACAGCAAAAAACTATCCCGAACAGCAAAGGAATGACTGTTGGGTCCATAATTCCCATTTAAATTCAGTGAGATTTAAAATACCCACCGCAAAAAATAAATTAACTTGCCTGGTGCTCAAATTTTCAAGGACATTTATCTATATGTAAAGTTTGAAGTGATCATAAGCCATTTATGAGATACAGTGAGACAAAAATGTTAGAAGTCATTTTAAAAATCCCCAAAGTTATTTAATAACTCTAAAACCTTTTGAAGGATGTTCTTCAGACTTTGCAGATGCTCTTCTTTATCTTCAAAATAAATGTGAAAATTTTCAGGCAAAACTAGTTTTCTAAGTATGAAGGCTTCTACTGAAATATGGTTGCAGCCTAAGCTAAGGTCTAGTGCATCTTCACAAAACCATTCCCTAGGCCAGTGGCTGTCAAACTTTTTAGACTTGAAGCACCCCTGGACAGACTCGCAGGACCCCTCAGAAAATGCCAGCTCTTCGTTCTCACTCATTTTTTGAAGACAGAAAAATAACAGAGCAGTTTTCCTGTTGCAAAGAACTCAGCAAGACCACAGCTATGGATTTCTATTTGAAATATTTGGGCTTATCTTGTGAATCATGTTTGCAAATGGAGCATTGCTAACACTGTGTGGCACCCTGGAAGGATCTCAGCACCCTGGGCAAGAATCACCGCCATAGGCAAACTGTTAAAAGTAAGTTATGTGGCAAAATCTGGTAAACATGAGAAAATGCCAGACTAAGTTCGAGCTCTCCTCCCCGTTCATTCATCCTGCATATTGAAAGGGGCAGGGGACCTCTTCAAAACGAGTATGGGATAATATAATTAGAGATGAGATCATAATGCAAATGGACAAGAGGAAGAAATGGGAGTGCACGGGGAACTGGACATCTAACAATCCTACTTGACTTAACAACTTAAGCACATTCTTGTTAACAGGTTTTTGTATAGAATTACCTGGAATTGATTTTCTTTAAAGGAAAAAGGTAAAACCAATTGTGTTACATTCAACAAATTCCACCTCACATATCAATGTGAACCCTGAATCTTCACCCCTACAAAAGAAATGCTTAGCTCTTGAGCCAAAGGACTAACCATACCAGCTGGCAACAAGGGAATCTGTGAGGTCAAATGGGTCAGTAAAAACGTGGTCTTCTCCTCCTCCCCATAGGTCTTGGGGAGTCTGTGCTCTGTGCAGTGTCCTCCGATGAAATGAAACCCTTGAATAATCAGATCAGATCCAGGGGAGAACTGAGTAGATGACAACCCAGTTGTTTCCTTTCCTCCCTGCCCTACCTATGAACTGATGAAATCCCCAAAGAGGATGTGGGGGTGGAAATGGGCAGTCGTGGCCATGTGCCGAATCCAAACAGCTGCCAAGTTTTGCACAGCTCCATAGGACACAGTACGCAGATGCATGAACACTTTGCCCATGACCACCAACTCCAGCAAGCGGTCAAATAACCCTCTACCAAGGAGTGACCGGGGTTACAACATGGTGCAGGTATGACGGTGGGGAAATGAGGGGTGCAGAGGAGTGTCCAGACATGGTGCACAGCAGGCAAGTAGGGGGGTTGTTCAGACTGGCTGACATGCCAACTGCTGCCCAGCTGGCACCACCACCATGTGCATTAGTGGTGACACGAAGTCAGGATTGGCGCTGCCTAGCGGGCACCTGCGTAGGGTTTAGACGGGGAGACTGCAAGGGCAGGCCGATTTCTGCAGCTGAGCTGGGCTATGGACAGCTCCTCATGGATCTTGCACCTGCTGCAGGAGCGGCAGGCGTGCAGCCAGCTGGCCTGAAGCAATGAGCCACAGTGGACTCCAGTGGCCAGAAACCACAACTGCAACTTCTGCCCACAACTCAGCCGAACGCCCGATATTGCAGCTGAGCCGGGGCTCACGGGGTGCATAGAGGAAGGGCAGGGCCGCTCTCCCCCCTTCACCACAGCTGATTTCAAGCACTCTCAGTGAAGTGCCTGCCAGTGCTGCTACAGGGAGAGCATTAGTCCGAAGTTTTAAAAGATTCATGTTTAGCGTTTTTGGCAGACCACCAAAAGTTTCCTGAGGAACACACCCAAGAGAAGGGAAATCGCAATTACCAAAAGTTTCCTCTCAGCAAGGCCTGAACACAATTTAATGGAACAAGGAAGACAAGGTTCTTTAGGAAAATGGGATATCTTTTATTAGACCAACTAAATAGTTGGGAAAATTGTTCTTTGCCAGCTTTCGGGCACAAACACCCTTCCCTGAGACAGAGGGAGAGCCTGCCGGTGTTTGCGTGCTCTCCGGGGTGGGGTGGAATAAGTGAAGAGTGCCTGTGTCTGAAAGCTTGCAAAGAACATATTTCCACCTATTTAGTTGGTCTAATAAAAGATATCAGGAAGACCCTTTTCTGCATATGTCCTTAGACCAACACAGCTCTAACCAACACCCCCGAACCATGGGCCAAGAAAGGCACTTTTCTAACCTCCGCTGCACACGGGCAAGGGCTTGATCTTCTCACAGGTCACAAGCAACTTTTCCAACAGAAGGCAGAAAGCAGCTTAAACAGACAGCTGTCCGTTCTGCCACCCTTATATTAAGCATCCAGCACTCCAGTTCCCATCAAGCCTTAGGTGAACTAAATTACATCACTGAACACGATTCAGGATCCCATGGTATAGTAACTTCAGAAGAGATTGAGGAGTAATTAAACAGTGATCAGTGCAAAAACATGTTTTCAAAAACCAACACCAGTTTCTTGGAGGCTTGAAACCAAGTCAGGAATGATGAGTGTGCGCGTTACTGCTGGGGGAGCTGCACATGCTTCGTGTGCTACCAAAGGGCTCGGTTACATAACGCTAGCTTCTGCCTGTGCATGCTTCCCATGTGTCAGTTTAAAAAAAGGTAAAAGCAACCAAACCAAAAATAAACTAAAATTCTCACAAATAATTTTCCTTCCAGTGTGGTGCAATTCCTCTTCCCACTCCATATCAGAGATGAGACTGCTGGAAGATTACATTTTATCAAGCCCAAAATGCTTCTCCAGAAGGTTCCTTTTCTACTTGGATTTTACAGCCTCCTGGATCACAGAGTTAAAATCAGGAAAGGAGTCTTGTAGGGGCATCTGATGGGAGCTCATCCCCAGGTATTTCCAGGCATGTCATTATCTCCCCAACTCCCTGATTAGGGGACACCATGTTTATGAAGCTGCAAAACAAAATTAAAAGCACTGCAAAGCCTTCAAAGGCTGGCCTGGAGGAGCACAACGTTTTATCATGCTGCAGTGAACTGTTGTGCTGTAGCAGAATAAAAACTACCACAATTGGAAATATTTACAGATGTTCCTGCAAAGGCTCTGCTTCCTCCTGCAAAGTTAGGGAGCCAAAACATTTCTCCGGAGGAAGCAATCCTAGGGAAAGCCGCGGTGAGAGGGAAGACACCTTCCAGATGCTCCCAAACACCCTAGCCCAGGGCACTGCGGAAAGAGGGACTCAGCATAATTGTCTTCTTTTCCTAGTAAGCGCAGAGAGAAAACCAGATTTCCATTCAGAAAAAAAGATGAACAAAGATGGGTTTCAGATTATTTATTTATTACTATCCTCTTTATCTGTCAAGCTAGATTAAGCATCAAAAAACTAGGCTGGCTTCATAAGTCAGCCCTGAAAGATTAAGCTAACCACAAAGGCATTTATCCCATGGCAAGCACAACATAACAAGAGCTATGAAAAATTAAACCGGAGGAATATGTGCATGGGGGGAGGCAGACTTGTTTTTGAAAATCAAGTTAATTTAACAATTAGCTGTTTAAGTGTCTTCTCCGAATTGTGCTGCCTTCTCCGGGTTCAGGCGGATTCCCCGGGGCATCTGAACTCTGTTTAACAAAACAAAGCGACTGAGATTTGGCTTTCTGGCTGAAGTGAATCAGTCTGGAATAATAATTCCTGAAGCTTTTATCCTTTAATCTACATATCAGAATATATATAATGCTTAATCTCTTATAAATATAGCCGTGCCATAAAATGAAGAGTTCCTGGAGTCACATAGAGCCATTGCAAATGTAGTGGTCTCCTGAAGGACAAGGAGATAATTTGCGAGTCTCTGGCAGAGAGCTGCAATTCTACAGGCAAAAACAAAAGGGCAGAACTGGAAGAGCACTAGTCAAGGGCATCCCAGGGACACACAACGGTCTGTCAATCCCATTGCCAGTGACTGTACCAACTGGATTTCAATCAACTGCATAAGTGAACCACTGGGAGATCTTATTTTTCAGAATAAGATTGAATAATTTAGCACACGAGACTGATATTTCCCTTAGAAATCCAGAGCCTAGACCTTGCTGCAGGATCAGTTGTGGTGTGGGCAGATGACTGGGGCACTTTTAAAACACCTCACTTTAAGTTTGGGGGATAATTATTAGCCGTACATTTTTGGATGGCCATTCTCCCACACCACCACAGCACAATAAGGCCTTCGTTTGCAGTCTCTGCATCTTTGCCACTTCATGTGGTGGCCTCCTAAAATAGTTTTGAGCTCTTAAATTATCTTTGCTGCAAAAGGGAAAATGTTTCAGAGCAATACACTCTTGCTTCCTTGCTCTGTGTACACCTTCCAAGTTAACGTTCCCAGCTGTCAACTAAGCAATTGCTGCCTTCCTATGACACCTGAAGACTAGGAGCAAATGATATATTTTTCACCAAAAAAAAGCATGCTCTGGGAAGCATCAGTTCATTATACAGAATCATACCGAAATCTAGCAAGCGATAACTCAAGAAAGAAAAAGATAAGAAACCTGGAAGGTGACAAGGGGAGACGGAGAATGCAATCAAAGCCTGAAAGTCACGGCTGACAGAACCAAGTGGTGCATTTATGAGGCCCATCTCCCTCTCCATGGGTGATTTTCTAACGTCCCATTTTCCAGGGTCCCCCAGCGTTTCCCTCGTATCTCCTCCTCCCTGCATTCCCTAATCTTCAGGCCTCGTGATGATCACTAATCTTGGCAAAAGGGGAAGACTGGACTGCTCCAACAAGCTTCCTGCAAGGTGTCGCTCTCAAAACATAGTCTTTCCATCCAAAAGCACTCACGGGCTGTAACACCTCTGCAGTACAGCACCAGGATCAGCCTCCCCTGTGGTAAGCACTGCTCTGGTCCTTATTTTATGGACATGGTCTTTGAAACAGTTTAAGGACATACAACCTGCCCGTAGCAGAAGGAAGAGACAGCTGTACAGGACTTGGCAACTGTGAGGGTGCAGAATGAGGTGCCTAACAAGCTGGGGAGCTGGATTTGTGGTGGTACCTAGGGATACGCAGAGCAAAATAAAATCAAATGGGATCACGCTCAGCGGCAGGGGAACTCAGGACAAGAATGGTCCGGCAGCAGCGTGGTTTGTGGGGGTTTCAGAAAAGAGGGAGCCAGGGTTGGCATTTTGGGGGAGCTGGTGGAGGGGGCACCTGGGACCTGTCTGGTGTGTGTGGGTTGGGTGTGCAGAAATGATGCAGAGCTGGGGAAAAAGCCTGGAGTCAGTGCAAAGCCCTCTCGCTTTGGGGTCTCTCCACTTGTTGCTGCCATCACCTCCCTCCTGCAGCTCCCATCTGCTCCTTCCCCGCTGATCCAGCAGGAGAGCAGAGACGGAGGCCTTGGCTGCCTGCTCAACACGTACCAGAGCAACTGCTGGCAGCCGTGAGCCACTACCGAGTTGTTCATGCAGCCCGACGCGACGTTCTCTGGCGGCTGCAGGAACGGGCAGGCGTCAGCCCGTGCGTGTCCCACAAAACCTGGGCTGCCTGGACGCACATGAAACGGGGAGGAACCCAGTGCGGTGGGAGAAGCCACCAAGCCACCAGACTCGGAGCAGCAGCTTCGTTTTAAGGGAGGAAAAAGTCAATATGGAGACTGAAAGTGCTGGCACATGCGAACATTTGGAGAGAGTCGTCAAATTACATAATTTTCTTTTATCCTTTGGACCCTCGGCTGTATTCAATAAATACCCTACAACTTTGGCCACGCAGCCGTTATAGGAGTCATTTTCATGCAGCATTTTGCAAAGGCAAGCAGCATTATAATGTGAATTTTAGGAATTTCACAAGGGTTTCTGTGGCAGGGTCCCATTTCAAACCTGACAGACAGAGATAAACATCATCAGCCCAAAGGGATCAGCCGTACTACTCTATGATCCTCTATGATTAAGCTTTATTAGCTTTTGCCAGGTCCTAAAACTCATGGTTTTAGATCTGATCTCTAAAAAATGCTATTTTCCCCATTTGCATTGTATTTTTCTAAAATCTTTCTCTGGATATGGTAAGTCATTTAGATCTCTTCCCTTTGATGAAGGAGACAGTATCTGGTAACATACAGAGAAAATGCTATTAATTTTCAAGCCCCTAACCTTTCTTCTTTTTTTTTTCTTTTCTTTTTTTTTTTTTTTTTATACAGGTCAATTTTTTCTACATAGTCTGGACCATAAATCAGAAGAGGCCTCTCCTCCTAATCACCAGTGGCGTCCTCATCAGAATACACCAGCTGATACTGCAAGCACATTGGCATATGCCCAATAAGTTCTTAATAATGCATTTGGCACAATACACAAACTTCATTGAGCAGTAATTTCCTCCTCTTGCATGTGTAACACATTTTGCCCAGTGTTATTTCTGTCTTATTTATTACCCACTGGCTGTTAAGTAAGAAGAAGGTCACTGTTATTTGTTCTTAAACACCAAATTCAGCTTTAAAATGAGTCATTAAAATGGTGGGCTGAATGCTAATCAACCCTCCAATGTACACGCACTGGAATCAAATGCTGTTTTCCTGCACCTTCTTCCCCTCCCTTCCCCCCACATTGTTTTACAATCACAGTTGAATTCTTCTCCAACTGTCAAAATAATGTAGAGCAAATGTGAGAAACAAAACTGCATTTTGGTTCTTGGCTCAGTAAAACCCAAAAAAACAAAACAGAAGCAAACTGTATAATAATAGGTGCAAGTTCTCCAAGAGTCAGATGCTGCTTCTAGCTGCTGGCAGGAAATCTCAACTGCAACTGCAGCAAGCCTGCAAATAAATATTGGAATAAGACCCTCCTCTCTAGCATTCACTTGGCATAGGTGCTAAATGCATTATAGAGAGACACAAAATACATTTCCTTACATAATTGGTCAGAGCTGTAAAGTCCACTGTAACTGGGGAAAACACTTCTGTATTAGTACGGGATGCAGAAGCAATGAAAATGCCCAGTTGTGCCTGTCTTACTGTATTAAGTAAGTGCGACAAAAGCCTTGAAGACAAGAGATGCCTACTATATTGTACCCACAGGCACCACAACTCTTGATCCATTTAAAGTGGGAGTTGAAAATGTTGTTTTGTTGTTCCTCATGTATTATGCTGTCATGGCATAAAAAGTGCCTATTCATATGTAAGCTCCACTTTGAGAGGTTTATAGGGGAGCCTGTAACACAAGGCAGCGAAGCCAAGCCTGAGCAGAGAGGTCCATCCCTAGCACTGCATCTGACGGGAGCTGGCGCGCTAATCTGAAAGGAAAAAGTCACTCGGAAATAGCACCTTTAACTGTTCTGTAATGATCCTAATCATTTCAGGAGCAGCATGACTGAGGACCAGGAAGAAAATGCATCTAGTCCTTCTGGGCAGAGGGATAAGACTTTGCTCTAGCAGAAAACTTCCAAGGTCAAGAAAGAAACAGAACAGAAATCAGGCTTGGGAACAAACATTCATGAGGCCATTTGAAATCCTGAAAATTAACTTGTTCCCTCATAAGCACCAAGGGATTCCATTTTGCAGGGATAAGTATTCACCTACTGGTTTTTAACCCTGTGTCTAGATGACGCACCTTGTTGAAGACCCAGATCTCCCCATTCACCGTTGGCCTGGGCACCCCGTGCCCATTGTAGTGGAAAAGGACCCTCTCTTCCTTGGCATTTCGACGCAGGGATGTACATAGTTTCTTAACTTCATCCACAGTGGGATCAAGGCTCTGCTTGTACCGGGCCTGGACAGAGAAAAAGTAAATGAGCATCTTAATTGTACGCGCATATGCATTTGAAACGCAGCGCAGCATGTACGCACACCTGTCTGCAATACAAGTATATACAGGCACACTCATAACACGTTCCTGATAAACTCTCCCTGACTACCACCTGCCCCGTGCACACGTGTCCAGGGCTTACTTCTAACTTCCCAAGTGTCTCAGCCGTTTCAAACATGTATACTCTTTTTTAAAAAAAATACCAGTCTGGCAAAAAACAGTTTTCTCCTTTTTCCCATTGCACAATCCCTCCCCCACCTTAAATTACATTGCCTGAAGCTCAGACTGGACAATGTTTGCTCCCACAATATTGACAAATTTAAGGTCAGATCATCTGAAACCCTTGAGGAGTAGCCACTGGAGCTTTCCACCATCTGAAAGGTGACACACAGCTTTTGCTTCCAGACCTGAGTCACCCCAAGGTAACCAATATTGCAAAAGAGCTAATTAAGCTAATTTTTAAATTTTTCTCTAATAAATTTTCCTCCCCTCTAAGATGTGGAGGACCTCTCTCTCTCTCTACTAATGGATATAAAAATAGCCCCAGTAAAATCAGTAAAGACTAAAACAATTGATCGCAAACATTTTTCAGCTCAGACCTATAGCTCCTGCCTCGTTTCTTCTTGGTTTCACAAATGCAGGATCGCACGAAGGAGCCTGTCACAACCCCCCGGACTGGTCTGGCGCACGAGGCTCAGGGGAGACAAGTGGGAGTAATGGGCTACAGCCATGAGGGCCAACTGTTTTGGCATGCGTGCCACAAATTAGCCTCCACCCTCCCCGAATATCACTCTAGTTCCCTTCCCTGCCCAGGCACCTGCTCCGTTTCAAGCTCCCTGCCTGATCTGCTCCTCTGCTGTCTGCTCCCTGCCCTATCTGCCGCTTTGCTGCCTGTCGCCTCCCTGATCTACCACGTGCCCCACACAAGCCTCGTGTCCCAGGTTGGCCACCCCGGGGTTAGGGGGGTGCTCAGTGCAAGCAGAAAGTGCTGATACTTGAGGATCTCCTCGACAGCAAAGGGCGCTTCTCCCTTCTCCCTCGCTCGCACCGCACTTGGTCCCATGGGCAGCGCTGCCTTCAGGTTAGGAAGAAAAGAAACCACAGTGAGGTGCACGGAGGCAGAACTGAACAGGGACAAAGAAGCAATCAAACTGCCTTTTTCTTCACTCCCTTTGCTCCTGCCGGATCCTGCTGGTCTTAGAGTTGCCACTTGTGAGCAATGCAGGTATCTTAAAACGCGTGATAAAAACCTTTACATTCACAACCCCCTCGTGCATTCTCTGCATGGCCGTATGCCACGCACGGAGCATAACCTCCGCGTTGAGAACCCTCCAGAGACGCAACAAAGCCATTTTCCCTCTGCAAAATGGCTAAGTATAACACACAAGTACCAGGGTGGAGCTGGAGGGAAGAGAGACCAAGCCTACTGCTGCAGCAATTGGAGCAAAA